ACATCATCATAATGTGCACAATGTGATCAAGGAGTTGATCACGGGATGATGTGTTACGGAACGAGTAAAGAGACTTGCCGGTAACGAGATTGAACAAGGTATAGGGATACCGACGATCGAATCTCGGGCAAGTACAATACCGCTAGACAAAGGGAATTGTATACGGGATTGATTAAGTCCTTGACATCGTGGTTCATCCGATGAGATCATCGTGGAGCATGTGGGAGCCAACATGGGTATCCAGATCCCGCTGTTGGTTATTGACCGGAGAACGTCTCGGTCATGTCTGCTTGTCTCTCGAACCCGTAGGGTCTACACACTTAAGGTTCGATGACGCTAGGGTTATAAAGGAAGTTTGTATGTGGTTACCGAATGTTGTTCGGAGTCCCGGATGAGATCCTGGACGTCGCGAGGAGTTCCGGAATGGTCCGGAGGTAAAGATTTATATATGGGAAGTCCTGTTTTGGTCACCGGAAGAGTTTCGGGGTTTATCGGTAACGTATCGGGACCACCGGGAGGGTCCCGGGGGTCCACCAAGTGGGGCCACATGCCCCGGAGGCTTGCATGGGCCAAGGGTGGTGAGGGACCAGCCCCTAAGTGGGCTGGTGCGCCTCCCACAAGGCCCAAGGCGCAGCAAAGGAGGAGAGAGGGGAAACCCTAGGCTTAGATGGGCCTAAGGCCCACCCTAGGGGGCGCCCCCTCTCTCCCCCTCTTGGCCACCTCCCCTTTCCCATCTAGGGCTGCCGCCCCCCCTAGGGGTGGGAACCCTAGAGGGGGCGCACCCTCCTCCCTCTCCCCTATATATAGTGAGGCCTGGGGCTACCCATAACACGCGATCTGATCTCTGCCTGTTGGTGCAGCCCTCCCTCTCTTTCTCCTCATATCTCGCGGTGCTTGGCGAAGCCCTGCAGGATTGCCACGCTCCTCCATCACCACCACGCCGTTGTGCTGCTGCTGGATGGAGTCTTCCTCAACCTCTTCCTCTCTCCTTGCTGGATCAAGGCATGGGAGACGTCACCGGGCTGTACGTGTGTTGAACGCGGAGGTGCCGTCCGTTCGGCACTTGGTCATCGGTGATTTGGATCACGACGAGTACGACTCCATCAACCCCGTTCACTTGAACGTTTCCGCTTAGCGATCTACAAGGGTATGTTGATGCACTCTCCTTCCCCTCGTTGCTGGTCTCTCCATAGATTGATCTTGGTGACACGTAGGAAAATTTTGAATTTATGCTACGTTCCCCAACAGCTTGCGCATGACATGGCCGCATATCAGTAAGATGAGTATCTCCGGATGTGTGCGCGCACATGCTTGGAAGTAATGGTGTTTGAACCAGAGTACTTGAGAGAATCAAATGTCGAAGACACAATAAGACTCATGGCAATTGGGTTTTTAGGTGTGCTTGGTTCTTCGAGGATTGTGGGCTTGCTATGGCCCTGCCCGTGAGGGCGTGTGTCCATGGGTCAGAGTTTTGGGTTTTGTTGTTCCTTTTTTTTTCACATTTTAATTCATGAATATTAATACGAACATTTCAAAACGCGTAATCACTCTTTAAAATCTGCTGACATTTTTTAAAATTTAGGAATATTTTTAAAATGCATGAATACTTTTAAAGTTTATGAACAATTTTTAAGTTTTGTGACCATTTTAAAATATGAGAACCTTTTCTAAAATCACACACATTTTGAAAATCCTTGAATATATTTAAAATTAGTGAAGATTATTTTTTCAAAACCATGGTTTTTAAATTTGCATTTAAAAACAATCCATGAACATTTTTTGATTTAACAAAAAAAATCAAATACAAAAGATACCTAGTTTTTCTCTCACCTAGAAGTGTAGCGAGCATAAAAAGGCTAAATGAGCAAGTGAAGCAGGGAGCCGAGCTGAGAGAGCGATAGTTTCATGGGCCAACCTATTGAGTGTTATAACAACAATTTCAGATTTTAAGCGTGAAATAGGTTCTCCCAAGAGGCTCACACAACCACCACAAGCTAACATTGATGACGAAACATGTAAAGACATCACAACCATGCACCAAACCAATCCACCCTCGTCTCAGAACAAATATTGTTTATGACAAAAACCCAACACGATATATAAAAAAGACGCTGACATAACATAATTAAACCCAAGCCAACGTAGTTAAAGGAGGTGTTTGTTTTTTAGAGGGGCAATGCAAATGATAAGGGAACTAAATCAACATGTGATTACGGAGGTAACAGATGATTATCTATTTTGTTTGGTTCATTCCGCTAAATGAATTTGGCCGCCGGTTGCAGAAAATGAAAGAGAGGAAAGAGAGGAGACAAGGGAAGGGAAATGGTGGTCCCCTCTCCTTCCTCGACGCCATCGGCCGCTGCCGGACGCCCCCACCAGACCTACAACAAGTCTAGCTTTCTCTAGCCGGTCATGGAGCTAGGACTGCGAGGCACCTCTGGCCGCTCCGCCGGCACCGACTACACCGCCGGCCACTGCCCCGGCATCCCGGCCAGCCACGACACGCCTCCCTCCGCCCATCTGCGCATCTACGGATGCTCTCCTATGTCTTCTCGGCCCCCACTGGGCCCGGACCATAAGTGGGACGTGGCCCTCGCCGCTGCTACTATACGGGGAAAGATGTTGGAGGGTTCGAGCATGTCCGGTAACGTGACTTGTTTACGGCTAGGATTCGGCGGAATCAAAGTTGAACCAGGTTGCAAACCGTTACAATGGTATGTGTGTGCTACTAGGCCGAGCTAACCAAACATATTTCCACATCACTAACAATAAATAAAAATGTACACTCCCAAATACATATATAGCATGTTCATGGAAATTTCCAGAATAATATACTTTTATACATGGCATAGACCAAAAAACACACAAATACGTACATGAAAATGGGCCATTTTTTGTTGTTGGGCCGAGATTTTGTTTCTTTTGTGCAGCTTGCAAATCATAATATTTTTGAATGAAATCTTACAGATCAGTCACGAATATGTAAAAGTTTTCAAAGATTTATTTTTATATTTTTGAAACTTAGAAATATAATTTTTTAATCATTCGAAGAAAAAGTCCTCCAACGAGCCCGTCCTTAGTAACTTCGCTCTCCTATGTGCCCAGGTTTTTTAGGCTGATTTGTTTTTGGAAGGTGACATTTTACACACATTTTAAAATACTCTAATAATGTGATAAAGAGTTCACACATGAAGGTGCCGTTTCCTTCACTAAAATCCCCTGAAATTTTAATGCCCGTTAAGCGCGCAATCATCTGAACAATAAAGGTGTGCCGACTGCACGGTAATTACCCAAAAAAATAGCAGAAAACACCCGAACCTCCGAGATAAAGAAACAACCACAGTGAATTCAGCAAGAAAGAAAAATGCAGACAAAAAACAGAGGAAAAGAGCAATTCCATCTCTCTCTCTCTCTAAAAAAGAGAAAGAGAAAAGCTGCAGTTCGCAGGAGAGAGATGAACGGCGAGCATGCCATCAATGCCATCCATGTTTCTCTCTCCTCTCACCGTCATCCCTCCTCGGGTTCCAACGAATCCCTCCGCACATCTCCCACCTTCTTGGTCAAACCGCCCCTCCTCCTCTCTCTCTCCTCTGTTTTCTGTTTCTTCTTCTCTCCTCAGGATAAAAGAATGGGGGAGAGGGGAGCCGAGTAATAATGGCAGGAGGAACCTTCTCTTCCTGACTCCCTGCGGCTGCAGCTCATCATTTGTCTCTGATCCTTGTGCCTTGTTCCCTCTGCGGCTGGTCTTGGCCATTGGTGGACTGAGCCATCGCCGGCAGGGAGAGGGGGCATCGCCATTGGGGGCTCCTGCGATTCGCATTTCTCCGTAATCTCGACAAGGTTCGTCTCCCGTTTCTGTCCAATGTTCCTTGGTCAAATCTCTCTCTGTGGGATATCCCGCATTCCGTTCTTGCGAGGAGATTCCGTTCTTCCTCCCTGCGCTTTGGTATGTGTTCTTTGTGATTCGAATTTCTTCTGTAAACAAACAAGATCCTATCATTCTGATGTCATGTTTTGATTCCCTTCCTTGAAAATAAATCAGAGTTTGGGGTTGTCGAAATGCGCCTTAAAAGTTGTGTTTTGTTTTAAACTGTGGCTTCGTTGGATTTTTCTTTCTCTGCGTAATGCGTGTTGTTTCTGATCCAATTTTGTTTAAATTTCACTTGCCTTATCCGCCCCGTTTTTCAAAAATAGGCGTAAATTCCTCGCCGATTGACATGTGGAGGAAAAGTTTGATTTGAATGTCTGTCTTCTCCTTTTTTATCTCTGGTTTGGTTTGGTTCCTCCAGCTCGCAAGATGAACGATCCTCCATTTCCCCATCCCGCAGACGATTGGAATCAAAGAAGCAACCTTTTTTATCGTGGTACTTACGATGTTTGGCTCAAAAGTGACGATCCCAGCCCTCCTATATCTTTTATCAAAAACATTCTTCACCATCTCCGCCAAAGTTCGTTCTTGGAGCAATTTTGAAGGGCTTTAGGAGAAAAAGTTGTTCCCTGTTGTCATGCGCCTCGAGCTCCGAGCCTCGAATCAGCACGCTGTTGCGTTGAGGGGTCCATGGCCTCTTCCTTTGCTGTTCTTGGAGTGAATAAGATGGAGCAGCCGCTCCCCACCTTTTATTTTCGGCTCCTTTTCCGGTAGTACATTCAACTTCTTTGTGGATGACTGTGCCGGTCGCATCAACCTAACCTTTTGATGTTATACGGGCTGTCGTTTACCCGGGGGCATGGACATGCTTTCAGTTTTGGAGAATCAGCTTTCTGCTCGATAAGATCGTCTTGTTTTTGCAACTCGAAGCCAATTCTTGATCCTTTTGGTGTTTTGAGCCAAAGATTTGTGTGAGACCAAGAAGCTACATCACATCCGTTGGCTCCTTTTCTCTGTTCTTGTCGTTGATGTTGTTTCTGCCCTTCTGTCTTTACTGAATTTTGTTTACCACCGAATGCGCTTTGCATGATGTTGCTTGGCTCTCCTCTGTGAATGCAGGTTCCATCCTGAGATGGACGGCCACACCCACCTAGCCGTGGAGTGGAAGGACCAGAGCCCAGGGGCAGACTGCAGCATGCTGCCGAGCTTCCTCACCGACCCGTTCCCCGCGGACCCCCTGGTGGAGGACTGCGACGGCGGCAACGACGGCTCCGAGGGGGCCGGGTTCGAGAGGCACGGCCTGTCGGTGGCCGTGGGCTCGCCTCAGGAGGAAGGGAAGCCGGCGACGCCGCACTTCGGCCAGAGGTCCAGCTCCAGCAGCAGCCTCTCCGAGCGGATGCAGGCCAGAGCTGGGTTCAGCGTCGCCAAGCTCAGCATGCCTGGCAGCGAATATTCAGGAGCCCAGTCGCCTTACCTGACCATCCCGCCCGGCCTCAGCCCGGCGTCGCTGCTGGAATCGCCCGTGTTCCTCTCCAATGCCATGGTATGCATTGTGTTTAAATTTCCATAGTTGTGATTTTCTCCAGCTTCAGACTGTAGGAATTGTTATTGGTTTTGTCAGTGCGATGCTAGATTGGCAGGTTAAGTATACTTGATTTACTGAACTTTCCGCATTTGCTTTACTGAACTTTTCACATTTCTGTAAGTACATGAAAGTTTACTATGCTAGATTGGGAGGTTAAGTATGCTTTGCTTTACTGAACTTTGGAAATTTCTGCAAGTCCATGAAAGTTTAACTTTGTCATTGCCACCAAATAGCCCACCTATATATACCCGAGGAGATTTTCCTTTCTTGACAAACTCTGAGGAGATTTTATTACCGTTGCCAAAATAAAAGCAAATGGAAGTTTGTATATTTCTGTTCCTTTTCATGTATGAAAGAACTCATGAGTATGCAATTTCAATTAAACAGACACCCTGATACTGAAGCTAGTACCTGAATGTTTTCTAATGCTGTGATTCAGGGCCAGTCCTCGCCAACCACGGGGAAGTTACTCATGCTTGGTGACACCAATAACAACAATAATACTAGGCTTGAACCTCCCTCAATTGAAGATCGTCCCGGTGCATTTTCTTTCAAGCCTTTGGACCTAAAATCATCACAGTACACTGCTGAAGGAAAGAAGGTGAGCAGTTATGTGAAACTGTATATAGTCTTGTTCCTTGCACTGAAAAAAAAAACAAGTAATAGCATTATGCTCCTTTGCTATGATGGAAGTAGTTTTGTGCTGACCATATTGTTCCACATGTAACAACCACGAATGACTGATGTGATTCATTGAGTTTTTCTTCTTATCCTCATTCGCATACCCGCATTTGAAATGTTTACCTTTTGTGACCATGGAGCTGGGTAAGTTGACCATTTTTCAGTGTATGCATGAATTGTCAATTTTATCAACTGGACTTTGTGCATACAGAGAATGTAGTTTTTTAAAACAGCGTATTTTGTAACTTTATTGTAAACAGCGTATTTTGTAACTTTATTTTGTAATATTCAATAATACTAGGTTTGGGGCACTGTATTTTTTTCTATTAAAACAGCGTTTCGTACGACTAGTTAAAGCAAGGTGGCTGGTAAGCCTGTTTACCATTATTGTTGGTATTTAATGGAGTTAGTGTAAAAGACACCTTTGTAAATACTGCCAACCAGGTTCATGGTAAAAACTAGATAAATTAGCAGAGTACAGTTTACATTTTTTTTAAACGCAGTGAATGACAGTTTAAGGCTCTCAAATAGGTGCTTTTGTTGCTTACTGTTTATTACCATGTTTTCTCTCTACTTGCTCATTTTTGCCGGCTGTGGCTGATCATATGAAATTGCTATTATGATCATAAAAATTTGAATAAACCCTTTGAATTCCTCTTTCCTTTTGTGACACACCTGTTCCTTTGCCTTCAGGGATCTCTACCCAACAGTCAGCACCCATCAGCACCAAGCAGAGATGTTCCTGTCAAGACAGAAACCAACATTCAGACAACGACACGAGGCGCCATTCCGCCAGGCCATCTGAACCAAGCGCAGTTCAACAACGGGCAAGACCTGATGAAGTGCAGCTACCATGACTGCAATAACAAGCGCAACCGTCTCGCAGCTGACAGGACCACGGCAGGTGGCGACAACAACGACGGCCCACCGGTAACGGCGGCGGACAGCGAGGCGGCGAAGGGAGACTACCCTGCTGCGGTGGCCACAGCAGCGCCGGCCGAGGACGGGTACAGCTGGAGGAAGTACGGGCAGAAGCAGGTGAAGCACAGCGAGTACCCGCGGAGCTACTACAAGTGCACGCACCCCAGCTGCCAGGTGAAGAAGAAGGTGGAGCGGTCGCACGAGGGCCACGTCACGGAGATCATCTACAAGGGCACGCACAACCACCCCAGGCCCGCCGCCCAGGGCCGCCGACCTGCCGGCGGCGCGCAGGTTCACCCGTTCAATGACGCGCAGATGGACGCGCCCGCGGACAACAACAACAACGGCTACGGCAATGCTGGTGGCTCGCAGCCGAACGCGGAGGCGAGGTCGCTGTGGCACGCGGGCGTGGCTGTCCAGGACTGGCGCGGCGACGGGCTGGAGGCCACGTCGTCCCCCTCGGTGCCCGGCGAGCTCTGTGACTCGTCGGCTTCGATGCAGGTCCATGACGGCGCCGCCCGGTTCGAGTCCCCGGAGGGCGGCGTGGATGTCACGTCTGCCGTGTCTGACGAGGTGGACGGGGATGATAGGGTGGCCCATGGCAGCATGTCCCAGGGGCAGGGCGCTGCCGACACCACCGAGGGCGATGAACTGGAGTCCAAGAGAAGGTTATACAATCTCATCTCTTCACGCCCTCACCATATATTCGTTTCATCAAAGAAATAAAAAATGTGTGTGCTCATTTTGGGTGGACGAATGTTTCAGGAAGCTGGAGTCGTGCGCCATTGACATGAGCACTGCGTCCAGAGCTGTCCGCGAGCCTCGGGTCGTGATCCAGACGACCAGCGAGGTGGACATCCTGGACGACGGCTATCGCTGGCGCAAGTACGGGCAGAAGGTCGTCAAGGGCAACCCGAATCCAAGGTACGTCTGAAGCATGAATTAACTTTCCTTAGGAGCAATGTATGTAGGCATGGTAGACTCTCATGGATCGTACCTGCTTGCATTGCAGGAGCTACTACAAGTGCACGCACCCGGGGTGCTCGGTGCGGAAGCACGTGGAGCGCGCGTCGCACGACCTCAAGTCCGTGATCACCACGTACGAGGGCAAGCACAACCACGAGGTCCCGGCCGCGAGGAACGGCGGCCACGGGAGCTCGGCGGCGTCGGGCGGCACGGGGGCGTCGCAGCTGTCCCACGCGCGCAGGGCGGAGCCGCCGTCGGTGCAGGACGGCCTGATGAGGCTGGGCGGCTGTGGCGCGCCCTTCGGCCTGCCGCCGAGGGACCCGCTGGGGCCGATGAGCAACTACCCGTACTCGCTCGGCGGCGGCCACGCGTCGCTGCCGAGCCTGCCGATGCCGTCGGGGCTCGGCGCCGTGGAGGGGCTGAAGCTCCCCATGCTGTCCCCGTCGCTGCACTCGGTGTTCAGGCAGAGGCAGGCCATGGAGACGGCGGCGGGATTCAGGGTGCCCAAGGGCGAGGTGAAGGACGAAGCCGCCGGGGCTGGGGCTGGCGCTGGGGGCGGCGCGGCGGCGGCGGCGGCGTATCCGCAGACGATGATGAGCAGGCTGCCGCTGGGGCACCGGATGTAGATATAGATAATAAAAGGAGGAGGATCGGTTAGAGGGCTAATTAGATTAAAATTGGTTATTAATGTTCGATAAGTATACGGTGGAAACAATCACCCTTACTTCTTGCTACCATTTTTCCTTTTCATCTTCCTGCTCCAAGTACGTTTTGATTCCTCCAGTTATCGTTACGATTTAGGGTGTTTGGTTTACTCCTCTGTTTGCCTTAATAATCAGCACTACGAAGCTTCCATGTTGGGTTCATGCGGTCTTTCAGAACATTAGTTTGCAACTTTATTTTTGAATGAACTCGCATTGGCTAGCCAATTTGTTTCATTTCGCTAGACCAACCATGATACCTTCTCGTTTCTTTTACTCTCCATATAAGGATTGTCTGAAATCAAACTTTGTAAAGTTTGACCATATTTATATGAAAAAGTATTAACATCTACAATCCAAAATTTATACAATATAAAAAGTAAAGTCATGACGCATCTAATGTTATTGATTTCACATTCTAAATCTTGGTACTTTTTTCTATAAACTTGATCAAAGTTTACGAGGTTTGACTTCATATGCGAACTAAAAAGGACCGGAGGGAATACAAAAGAATGCCCCCATCCCCTCGGCGAAGACTACAATCTGCAAAACATCCTACTGAAACAACCAGAGCAGATAATCTCAAAGCAATCCTAAGGAGCTCCCCTCGATGACGATCGAGCATTTGCGCAGAGCAGCTTCTACTGATGCACCAAAGCTCCCAACATACCCAGGATACATTCCAGACTCCCTGAAAAAACAAATTAATCACGTAACAACCATAAGCTCCACAAGAATTAGAAATGACCAAGTGGGAGCATTTGTGCTCGAGATTAGAGTAACACTTTCGCCAAGTGAATTGCTACATCATTCTTCTCTTTCTTTCCGTAAATAGCTAAATCTCCAAAAGAGCAAAAAAGTTGTATATCAAGTATTTCAACTACAATTTTCTAGGTGTTAAGTGCCACAATGCAATCAAAGGACAAATGTTTGATACTCTCTTCTTTGTTGCAAAAGACACACGTTGGATCGGCCACATGGCATTGCTTAACAGGGTTATCCCTAGTCAAACTTTTATTATTGGGAATAAGACACATGAAAACATGATCGCGGGGAAGAATTTTAGGGCGAGCTCTTTTGGGCCTTATGGGTGGCATGCCAAAATAAGATTCCCCCTACCCAGTTTATGTTGGCAGCCCAATCTTTTTATTTTGATAGCCCAACCTAAAAAAAATTGGGCTCGCAGAATAAGCTGTGTAGGGGGCAACATATTTTGGCAGCCACCCATAAGCCCCAAAAGAATTGACCCTTAATCTTCTAAATACAATCGTTCAAATTGTGGGACATTCCTCCAAAGTTGATCAACTTGTAGAAAGACTTAATGAGAAAGAAAACCAGACTATTCAAGCAACCAAGCATGAACATCATTTTCATCAAATAAAACAACACTTTTCATAATGGATACATGATCCTCCCAACTAGAAAATAATTGCTCATTTACACATCTCCTAAAGGTTAATTTCAAATCAGAATGATCCCAAACCTGCACATTCGCGTCATCTTGTGAAAAATCACAAAAAATCCTAGAATTTAGTCTTAAGAGAGCAATCACCAAACCAAACATTATGCCAGAAGGCAACATTCTAGCCATTACCGACCTTCCAACGATAAAAAGGCCAGGCACCTGAGAAGTCCCAAGTTATTCTTTTCCAAAAAGGAGAACACGACCGAGGTTTAGCCTATAGAACAGTGTTATATTTAGTAATCTCTTCCAATCACTAGGAAATGATCAAAGTATCTTTTACTCCAAGAAGCAAGTAAAACCATATTAATATACCTAAGATTAGGAACCACCAAATTTCTTTTTCCGGAACACAAGCCCCCATTTTGACATATGTTACTTATGCTCATCTCCCATGTCGCCCCAAAAGAAATGAGACATTTGGAAGTAATAGCTTCAATGGACCACTTAGGAAATTTAATCATGGACATGAGGTAAGATGGAATACTGGTAATACAATAGTAAGGAAAGTGAATTTCCCTCTTTAAGACAGGTTTCTACGAAGCCAACCCGAGTTTTTCTTAATGATCCTATCAATCACAGGTTGAATATCCTCCCATCTCATTTTTTGAAATGCAGTGCAACACCCATATACTTAAAGAAAAAGGTACAATTTTTGACAATAGAAAATTTGGGCAAAGGAATTGGCAAGGTCATCCTCCACACCAAGAGTATGTAAGTCTCTTTTATGACAGTTAATTTTCATTTGAGACAATTTCCCAACACAAGATAACATCCATTTCAAATTTATAGCATGTTCAATAGAAACATCTAGGAAGAGAATAGTGCCATATGCATATTACAAACTAACCACTCCACCAGGAATAACATGAGGAAGTAGACTAAAATAAATTATGATGAACAACTTTAGAAAGCATCTTAGAAATGACTTCATCCACTAAGTTAAAAAGTAAAGGAGAAAGAAGGTCTCCTTGCATCAAACCCTTAGCTCACAAGATATGTACCATCAGTATCATTAATTCTAAGACAGAAAGAACTTCGAATTAAGGCATTACAAATTCACCCAATCCATTTACTTCCAAAGCCTCTAGAAGAGAGCATTACCATAAGGAATTCCCAACTCACTCTACCATATGATTTCTCATAGTCTTACTTTAAAACCAAGTTATTGTCATCTACAAAAAATAAGTTATTTGAATCAGTTCTATGAATCTCATGGATAACCTCATGATCCATATCTATGCTCTCAAGAATTAACTTCCCTTTAATTAAAGTAGTTTAGTTTTGAAAAATAAGCCTATCACAAATAGGGTAAACCCTCATACTCATAACTTTGGTGAAAATCTTAATAACACAAACACACAATTACTAAGAATAATAGGACACAATTTCTTGATCTCTTTAGGAGTTAGTTTTCTAAGAATCAGGGTAATGATAGCAAAGTTAAGACTGTAAACATCCAAAGTACCATTCTCAAAATCTGTCACAAGAGCCATGAAATCTAGTTTGATCAAGTCCCAAAAGGTCTAACAAAAAGAAAAGGAAACCCATCAACTCCAGGGGCACCATGGGAATAAGAGCTCATAATAGCCTCCTTAATCTCTTCCTGAGAGAAGAGTCTTTGCAACAAGATCATTAGCATCCCAAAAAATAAATCCCAAATGAATACCAGGTTTAGGTTCAAATGCAAAAGGTTCTTATAAAAATATGTAACAACATCTAACATGTGGGTAGTGAAGGAAATATGCCCTAGAGGCAATAATAAAGATATTATTTATATTTACTTATATCATGATAAATGTTTATTATCCATGCTAGAATTGTATTAACCGGAAACTTGATACATGTGTGGATACATAGACAAAACATAGTGTCCCTAGTAAGCCTCTACTAGACTAGTTCGTTAATCAAAGATGGTTAAGTTTCCTAACCATAGACATGTGTTGTCATCTAATGAACGAGATCACATCATTAGGAGAATGATGTGATGGCCAAGACCCATCCGTTAGCTTAGCATAATGATTGTTAAGTTTTATTGCTATTGCTTTCTTCATGACTTATACATATTCCTTTGACTATGAGATTATGAAACTCCCGGATTCTGGAGGAATACCTTGTGTGCTATCAAACGTCACAATGTAACTGGGTGATTATAAAGATGCTCTACAGGTATCTCTGAAGGTATTTGTTGGGTTGACATAGATTCAGATTAGGATTTGTCACTCCGAGTATCGGAGAGGTATCTCTGGGCCCTCTCGGTAATGCACATCACTATAAGCCTTGCAAGCAATGTGACTAATGAGTTAGTTGTGGGATGATGTATTACGGAACGAGTAAAGAGACTTGCTGGTAACGATATTGAACTAGGTTGATGATACAGATGATCGAATCTCGGGCAAGTAACATACCGATGACAAAGAGAATAACGTATGTTGTTATGCGGTTTGACCAATAAAGATCTTTGTAGAATATGTAGGAGCCAATATGAGCATCCAGGTTCCGCTATTGGTTATTGACCGGAGATGTGTCTCGGTCATGGCTACATAGTTCTCGAACCCGTAGGGTCCCCACGCTTAACATTCGATGACGATTTGTATTATGAGTTATGTGATTTGATGACCAAAGTTTGTTCGGCGTCCCGGATGAGACCACGGATATGACGAGGAGTCTCGAAATGGTCGAGAGGTAAAGATCAATATATTGGAAGGTTATATCCGGACACCAGAATGGTTCCAAAGTGATTCAGGTATTTTTTGGAGTATCGGGAGGTTACCGGAACCCCCCGGGGAAGTATTGGGCCTTCATGGGCTTTAGTGGAAAGGAGAGAAGGGCCGCAAGGAGTGGCCGCTCCCCCCCATGGCAAGTCCAAATTGGACTAGGGAGGGGGCGCCGCCCCCCTCTTTCCTTCTCCCTCTCTCCCCCTCTTGGAAAAGGAAGGGGAGTCCAACTAGGATTGGGAATCCTAGTTGGACTGCCCCTATGGCACGCGCCCCCCTTGGCCGGCCTCCTCCTCCCCCCTCCTTTATATACGTGAGCGGGTGGCACCCCAAAGCACAACAGACAATCTCTTAGCCGTGTGCGGTGCCCCCCTCCGCAGTTCAACACCTCGGTCATATTGTCATAGTACTTAGGTGAAGCCCTGCGGAGGTAACTTCATCATCACCATCTCCACGCCGTCGTGCTGACGGAACTCTCCCTCATCCTCAACTGGATCAAGAGCTCGAGGGACGTCATCGTGCTGAACATGTGCTGAACACGGAGTTGCCATATGTTCGGTACTTGGATCTGTTGGATCATGAAGACGTTCGACTACATCAACTGCGTTACTAAACGCTTCCGCTTTCGGTTTACGAGGGTACGTGGACACACTCTCCCATATCGTTGCTATGCATCTCCTAGTTAGATCTTGCGTGATCGTAGGATTTTTTTTGAATGACTACATTCCCCAATAGTGGCATCCGAG